TGTAGCGCCAACTCTACACTTCCTCCAATTTCCATATATTCAGGCAAAAAAAAGCTTTTTCAATCTCGTTTTCCACAGCAATGACATCATGAACAGCTGTATTAGATGTGGGATACTTACTTGCACTAACTTTCAAAGTTATAAGATAGAAGACCTTCAAAAATTCTACAAACACTTGTGCACCATCCCAATCTTCCTCCTTAGGTGGTCCAACCCTCCCTTTACTCGCCACTTTTTCTCCTTCATCATTAAACACCTTTTCCCTGAAATAGGTGGAGTATATATTAGCTTCATCATCTTCGGACATCCTTTCAAATGCTTTTTTAAACTTCAAGCAAGATTCTAGCATCATGTATGTGCTATTCCACCTAATAGGCACATCCATAACAACTAGACCCCTATTATCCAACTTCTCATTCTCCACACATTTCTTGAAATAACTAAACCTTTGGGGACTTGATCTCACAAACCGCACGACATTTCTAAAAACATCCACACTTGTATCTAATCTTTTCAACCCATCTTTTACTACCAAGTTGATAATATGAGCTAAGCACCTCACATTCATAAACTTGCCATTCATAATAATTTTACTATTAGGCCATTTCTGCATTTTACGAATAACATACTCAATTGCCACCTTATTAGTCGATGCATCGTCAACTGAGATACACATTACCTTTTCAATCTCCCACTCAACTAAACATTGCTCAATCATCTTCCCTATTTCTTTGCCTTCATGACTTGAAATCAAACAAAAGATTAGAGTCCTTTTGTGCATATTCCATTCATCATCCACAAAATGAGCAGTTAGCACCATGTAGTTCAAATTTTGCACACTTGTCCATATATCAGTAGTCAAGCTCACTCTATGATTGTGTATCTCCCTTTTTAACTGATCTTTCATGGTATCATACATATTGAATAACTTCTTCACAATAGTTCTTCGAGATAGAACATGCAATCTAGCTGAACTTTGCACATCATCCACCTAAACCCTTCACTCTTCACAACACTAAAAGGTACCTCATCGATCATAATATACTCAATAATACCTTCCACACTTTCTTCTTGGCTCCACCCTTTAGTAACAAGCATGTTTTTGACATCTCCAGAAGGTCCAGAACTGCCTAGAACCTTTTGCAACTCATCAGTTGGTTTATATGACTTGCAATGTTTATTGATATGCTTGATGTAAGTACTGGTTCCACCCCCACTAGTATCACATGCAAAAAGAAGGTTACAATGGTTTACATTTAGCCTTCAATACTTGTACATTCGTCATCTCTTTCTTTCTATCCTTTTCTACTTCTTGTATTTCTGAGACGATACACTTAGTGACATGATCCCAAACCCAAGATCTCTCAGAAGAAGATCATTCTAGTGAAGCTATTATAGTTGGTTGTTTTGTCTTTGGAATAGGTGGTGCTTTTCTTTTTCTGGAGGAGGCATTGATGATTTTGACTGTGTGGGTTGTGCTTGTGTTGGTTGTGGAGGACATGGTGATGTAGCCGTAGATGATGCCACATTAGTACTAGGGGTACTTTGACTTTGAGATTGAGACATTATGTAAAAATCTGTAAAAATTAAATAATGGAAGTATATTCATTAATCAAATAAAGATATTTCAAAATATACACAACAATTTCATGAAATTATCACAAAATATTAATCATCTCAAGAATCCATTAAAACTTCAGAGTTCAAATCACGAATAAAACCAACTACTAAATCCATCCCCATTAAGAGAAAGAAACCAAATGAAAACAAGAGAAAGACGTACTAAATGAAAACAAAGAGAAACCAAATCAAAGACGTGCTAAATAAATCCATCCCCATTAATACTCGATATGAAACCAAATGAAAACAAGAGAAAGAAACTATATGCTAAAAAAAGGAAGAGAGCAATTTCGAATCATGCTAAATTTGTCTTACATTAGCAATATTTTAAAGAAAAACTAGTTTAAAGAAAAACATGCAGATCTATTAACTATTAAGTACTTACATATGTGATTTGTTGGGTTCCAAAGAAGAAGACTAGTACTTTCTTCCAATCAACAGAGTAGCCTCACTTCTCTGGTTCACTTACCCGCAACATGATTAGGAATAATTAGGAACAAGGAGAGAAGCAAACTATAAGGCAACACTTAATTCAGGTTTTTGAAATTATATCTATGATTGTTAATAGTTTGCTTCAAGGACAATTGTTAACAGTTTGCTTCACTCCTAAATGTTTAAGTAAAGTTGCTTCAATGTCTCGTGAACCACGAATCATACATGGTGTTGTGCCACAAACCAAAAGGTGGTACTTGCCCACCTAAAACCAATCAAAGAAATGCACATGGGTACAGAAATTGGCATAATGACAAAATGATACATAGATAATCAAATCCATAACTTTCTTACCTTAGTCCGATTGAACATCAAGTAAAATGTTGCAACCTCATATACACGTAAAATGTGAAAGCAAATTTTATACTAATGACCAAATTGCATTTCAAGAGAAAAGTTAAGATCTCACAAATATGTGAACCAAAAATTGGAACTTACATTGAAATGGGTTCTGAGGTGGGAGTGGATATTCTTGTAGGATGGCAACCTGGTGCAGAAAATGTATATATTTGAAGCCAAACTTGGAGAAGTTGGCAGCTGAGTACTATCTAAGGTTGGTTTTGGCACTTATTAGCCGTGTCTGTCGATTATTATAAAACAATCTCACATTGGAACTTCTTAACATTGATATTTTCTTCTCTTTATTTCAATATTTGATTCCATCTATGAATGCAATGAAGGTATTTCATTGGACTAAATCTCTTTTCTTTTAGTTTGTCAATTGTCAAAACACTGTTGATTGATATGCTTATTATCGGAGAGCTTGCAATAAAGCTTGAAACTCTACTAAGATGCTTCCCTGGTGAAATCTGTGCCTTCTTGTTTCTAGAACCATCATTCTAGGTACTCAATTTAAGGCAGTATTACAATGGGATTTCCTTTTACAATCTGCAAAAACGGCTTTAACATTGGGTACAAGTAGAAATTTTCATTTGATTACAGAAATAAAAATTGCACTAACTCTCTCCTATATACTTCTCTCTAGTGAACTCCCAAATCTCACTTGTGTATTTATATATAGATAATCAAAACAATATTTCAAAGCAAAGTGAGATTTGGCAGGCATTCATGTAAATACTAAATACATGCATATATGAGATTCCTATGTGCTGAGAATAATCAATTGTATGTAGAACCATTCTAACCAATCTGAACTTCAAGGACAATTGGTAATAAACCAAATACAGATGTAATTTCTTAAACTATCAGGCAACGCTTAATATGCAAAGTCAAAAAAGAACCCAAACTTTGTTATCAGTATTACAGTGGAAAAAAATTGGTAGATGCAAAGAGAAGAACCATAAATGGTGGCAACATATCAATCATCACTCTGCAAATTTTAAGAAAAGCATAAATGGTGGCAATAGGATTCAATCATCAATCTACAAATTCTAACTTAAAACCCCTAAAATCCCTACCCCAGAATCCCAGATACTCACAATTTCACATTAATAATAAAACCTAATTCAAAATTACCTAAATTTTAGAGGGATGATGGTTGGTAGTGGTATTGGACCACTGGTGGTGGCAGTGACCTCGACGGTGGTGATGCGATGATGGTGGTTGCAACGGCAGAGGTGGTGTCGTGTGTTGTTCACGATGGCACTGTGAGAGTCTGAGAGTTGGAGCTCGATGGTGGTGATAGGGTGATGGTGGTCGTGACGGCAAAGGTGGTGTTGTCTTGTGTTGGTCCCGACGGTGATGAGCATTGTGAGTAAGAGTCTGAGTTAGAATCGAAGGAAGGGATAAAGAGGGACAAGGGAGGGAGAGTTTAAGAGTCTGAGAGACACTAAGGGTGAATTCTGGAACTCGGGATGTGGGAATTGGCTAGGGTTGAAACTAAACGGGCCGGTCCAGGTACCTGCGGTTCCTATACTTTTGGAACCGGCCCGCCCTGAAAACATCAAAGGCTCGCCTCGTTCTGTTTTTCCAACATTAGGAACTGGCCCTTACCCGCCCCGAACCTTGATTACCCGCCTTGACCCACGGTTCCTGTACCCGTTTGCCCACCCTTATCTTTAACTTTTGATAATACAAATTAGCCACAAATCCTTAGGATTTTCTACTTAAGGCGTCTGCTGCAACATTAGCCTTTCTTGGATGGTAATGTAAACCAAAGTCATAATCTTCTCAATATTTCATCCACCGTTGTTGCCTTAGATTTAACTCTTTTTGTGTGAATAAGTATTTCAAACTTTTATGATCAGAATAGAGTTCAAATCATGCCCCGTGCAAGTCATGTCTCCATGTCTTCAATGTATGAACAATGGCTACCAATTCAAGGTTATGTGTCGGTTAAATTTTTTTCATGTGGTTTTAGTTGACGAGAAGCATAAGCAACAACTCTGTTAGATTGCATCAAAACACATCATAGTCCACGTAATGACGCATCTATGTAAATTATAAAGCCAACTCATGTTTCAGGAATGATTAACATAGGAGCGGTTGTCAATCAAACTTTTAATTCTCAAAATGATTCTTCATACTCATCAGTCCAAACAAATTTAGCTCATTTTTGTGTCAACTTGGTCATTGGAGCAGCTAATCGAGAAAAATCTTTAGTAAATCTTTTATAATAATTAGCCAAACCTAGAAAACTTCGTATCTCATGAACATTTTTGGGTTGATTCCAATTCAACACTATTTCCACCTTTAAGTTGTCCACTGTGACGCCTTTATTTGAAATAACATGTCCTAAAAATATTACTTCAGTCAGCCAAAACTCACACTTACTTAACTTGGCAAACAATTTATGTTCTCTTAATGTCTGTAAAACGATTAACAAGTGTTCTTCATGCTCTTCCTTAGACTTGGAATAGATAAGAATGTCATCAATGAAGACAATAACTAATTGGTCCAAATATGGCTGGAAAACTTGATTCATTAAGTTATGCTGCAGGAGCATTTGTTAATCCAAACGACATGACGAAAAACTCATAATGTCTATATCGAGTTCTGCAAGCAATTTTTGGTATATCTTTTGCCTTTACTCTAAGTTGGTGATAACCAGAACGAAGATCAATCTTCAAAAAATATCTAGCACCTCTCAATTGATCAAATAAATCATCAATCCTAGGTAAAGGGTACCTATTCTTTATCATGATTCTATTTAGTAAACGATAATCGATATACAACCTAAGGGTTAAATCACTTTTCTTTACAAATAAGGCAGGAGCACCCCAAGGTGATGTACTAAGCCGAATTAAACCTTTCTCTTGAAGCTCTTGAAGTTGCTTTTTGAGTTCCTTCAATTCCGCTGGTGCCATACGATGTTGAGGTATAGAAATAGGTGATGTTCCTGGATACGTCTCAATGGAAAATTCTATTTCTCTAATAGGTGGTAATCCTGGTAAGTTTTCTCGAAATACATCAATGAAATCCCTCACCACAGGAATAGATTCAATTTTGGATTCACTTATACCTTCTGCAATCATATGTCCAATTTGTTTCTCAAATAATTCACTTTTGTTTTATCCAAAATCGAATTAGGTTTTGAGACCTTTGTATCACCATAGAAAGTAAACTTTTCTCCATCTGGGGTTGTCAAGGTTATCAATTTCTTTCCACAATCAATAATAGCTTCAAATCGCTTAAGCAAATCCGTTCCAAATATTACATCATAATCCAACAAGTCCAACAACAACATTGCAATTCAATTTATGATGTAATATATCTATTGTGGATGATCTACATACTCGATTTACTTCCACACAACTTCCCCAAGGAGATTCGAACAAAAATGGACGTTTTATAGATTCAGATTTTAACTCGAGAATAGATGCAAATGATGTAGATATAAATGAATTCGTAGCACCAGGGTCAAACAATATCCTAGCTAATAAGTTAAATATTAGAAATGTACCTTCCACTAATCCTGCTACTTGACCAACAGCATAAACTAGACCTTGAGCAAGTTGTCCGGGTCTCCTAACACCTGGCAATGCCCTAGATCTCCCTGGTGCAGGTTGTCCTTTTGGACATTGTGCCTGTTGATTAACAAGTCCTCTAAATTGATTCAATGAAGGTTGGTAAGAAGCATGATATGGTGGGGGTGGTGCATGGAGGTGTGGTTGTGGAATTTTAGGTGCCTAGTTCATTTACAACCTTGGAAATTCCCTTTGATAGTGTCCTAATTGCCCACAATAAAAGCAAGATTGTCCTCAAGTTTGACCAAAGAGTGTTTGATTTTGTTGAAAGCGAGGTGGAACAAACCTTGGGCATTTACTACTTTGCCCTACACCTGGGTTTTTATACTCCAAAGCTCTTTTAGAACATAAAATCCCATGTTCTGCCATTAAAGCACGATTAACAATCTCAGCATACCTCTTTAGTTTAAAAAGTTCCACTTTTTCTTTGATCTCTGCCTTAATCCTTCTTCCAACTTTGTTGCTTTAGTAGTCTCATCTGGAATCATGTAAGGTGCAAAACGCATTAATTCTTCAAACTTCGACATATATTGTGCCACAGTCATTTCATTATGGCAAAGATTTGCAAACTCTTTGGTCTTCATGACTCTCATAGGCTCAGGGAATTACTTCTCAAAAAATACAACCTCGAATGTTGTCCAAGTTGTAATTTGAAGATCAAGATTAACTAGCACGGATTCCCACCAGTGATAAGCTTGTCATTCCAAGTAAGTACAAGCAATTGTTACTTTCAGATTTTCCCGAACCCTCTGATCATTCAATTTTCTCTTAATCTGGCGTAACCATTCCTCCGCTTGCATTAGGTTTGGGTCACCTTTAAATATTGATGGTCGGGCCTTCCAAAATTCCCCTTGAATCCTCATTATTTGATCACTTTCTGTTTCCTCATGAGGTTCATGGTTATGTTGATTTGTCTCACAAATCGCTGATGCCATATCATGAATAGCTAATAATACTTCCATATTATTATTGTTCATACCATTATCGCCAAGTCCTTCTACTTCCGCCATCTCTATAACCAAAATTTGAAAAATAAATCTACCATAATAATATTTAAAATAAAATGCCTTAAAGAATAGAGAACTTAAGGAGAAATAAAACAAGAAGTTTGTAAGTTTAATCATGACCAAGCAAATCAGTCCAATAAGAGTAAACCACTTAAAGAAACTTGATCACATTCGCTTACAAAATATACTTTGTAGCTGTACCTTAAGAAATAATAATAAATCAACTAAAAACAATCATTCAAATAGATAGTATCATATGTTGAATAAAAGCTACTTTTGTTGGAATGCAATACTATGTTATATAAAATCAATCAGTAGTTACTTTCTCTTTTTATACTTGTACAAAAGATGTGAAACAAGTCTGATTCACCCCTTTTTTGTTTTCTTTCCAACAGTAGTTCAATCAACACAAAACCAAGCAGAACAAAAGAATACAATCTAAAAAATATAAGTCAAACTTTAGACGTATAAATTAAAATAAACACACCTATTATACATTGCTAACTTATTGGTTATAGGTTAACATCAGTAGCGACACATAATTTACAAAGCTTTCCCAAAAGCTATAAGAAACACGTTTCATAAAGTACAAAAGTACATCGAAACTTCTGTTACGAACAACAGTAAAAATGCATCAACGCCTATCCTTTGAAGGCTATTACTTCTCCCAAAAGCATATATAAGGTTGTACACTAATCACACCAAAAATCAGCCATTCATATCAGCCCTTCACTGCAAATTATTTACACTAGTCACTTCCCAAACCTGAACTTAGTCTTCATTTAAATCGAACTGACATTCAGGAAGTCCAACACTTTCAAAAGGTTCAACAAGGTCCTCTTCAAGGTCATCTTCATCATCAAACTCAGAATGGATGGAGATAATAGGTGGAGGAGTAACTAATGGTGTAGGAATAAAAGCTACATTATAAGATAGGCCTTTCGGAATTTTTGGTACCCCTTGAGCTAGAACTTGAACTGGAACCTGAGCTAAATTAACACTTGGCGGAGACCATATATTTCCACCTAAAGCTGTCACATGGTTCATCACATCACCATAAAGATTTTCACTAGACTCTATCTGGATATGGTATTGAGTCTTGATGTTCAGCAACTTGTTTATATGCCAAACTACTTTCCGTTGCATCTCTGGCCTGTAAAACATTCTTCTATGGTTGCTTTCATATGTATCATACACCAACTCCATAAAGGCTTCATTATGAAGGCGGGTATGGTACAAGTCTTCATTATAAGGCTCTAAACCGTTGGGCCCCAGCTTAAATCCACCCCATGCATCATTTCCATTTGCAGGATGCATCTAAACATCATCATATAAAGTTAGTGATCAAATAACAAATAAACACATACGGTTAAACAAAACCTAGAGCTCTGATACCAAATTGTCACGCCCCAAGCCAAAGATTAACGTAAACCTTGGTTTAGAAAGTGAATCACACCTTAATTATAATCTTAACTAATATAATTAAGAATGTGACTTGAAATAAAAGCATGTATAACTTGCTTGGAATAAAATTAAAATTTAACTGAACAACATATTATTGAAAGTTTCAACCTAAATTTCAACTTATGAACTACTCAGAGTTCACACAAAAGTAGTTCTTTATTCAAACAAGAGAGCAAAAGCCAACAAACTCATCTTTTTATTTCTTTATACATAGTTACACAACAGACAGCAAGCAGACCTTTAGGTTTCTAGTTCTGTACCTGCAAAATTTCGTTAGGGTGAGTTTAAAAAGCTCAGTAGGGACATATACCTTCATTTAAAATAATAAAGTATAATTAACATATCATAATTAAAACCATGATCAAAATGATGCGTAAAAATGAAATGCAAATGCCTTAACTATACCCGTTAATCCACATAACTAAACACCCAAACCTTGTACGTCCCATTCCGTACTTATACCACTTGATCCCGAGTGTTTAAATATATGAACTAAGCCTCATCCCTAAACATCCCTGAACTCCCCATTTTGTTATTCATATTGCCTAAACTCTTCGTTTCTAGTCCCGAATTACCCTTAAAGAATCTATGCATTGTGGGCTCACCAGAGACCTGGTACCTATTAAGAGTTTGGCTCAATTATACAAAAACTAATAGTCACCACTTTAAATTTCTGAAGTTCTTTCCGACAACCCCACTTTACTCCTACATCATGGATCTAAATTTCATTTCGAATATTTATATTCAAATAACCATCAGAAACAGTATTCATATTCAATTTGAATTCAATATGTATATCAAACTTGTATGTGTACTTAAGTAAGAAATAGTTAAATTAATACATATAGAACGTTTCCCAGAACCGTTACCTTGAATTTGATTAATTTTGTTCATCTAAAGAACCCTTCAAATCTTTGAATTTTTCTTCAAAATCACGTTCTCTATCTCTCAATTTCTCTACCCCCTTTTCTATTTCTGATGTTTTCCCACTTTTTTGCAACCCCTTTTATAGTTTCTCAAATCCTACCCAATCCTATCATAGCCATGATGAAAACCTAGCTTCCTAGGCCATCCACCTCCTGCTTAGAGACCTCTGTGTCTCTTCTCAGTTCATCTTCTGCTGAAAACACTCCTTAATGCAATAGGAGATGAGCAACTCTCTATAACACACTCCTTTGATCAATCCAATATCGACCTATCACAAGATTTCCTAACCTTTATCCGATTTGAGAATGAAGAAAGAAGATTTTTTTTCTTCTTAAAGCTGTGGAAGAGCCACCTCCTCCCAGCTTCTTTGTTTCCATCGTACATAAAGGAAGAACGTGAAAGAACGTTCTTTTCTTTTCTTTTGTTAATATATATATATATATATATTTAAATACTACTTCATTACTATACCCAAAAATAGATCCTTATTTGTACCCTAAAACAATTATAATAATAACAATAATAAGAAATCTAATAAATGAAAAGTATAGTATTAAAAGCTATTAAACAAATAAAAACAAAGTAGACTAAAATTTTGTATAAAAACAATTATAATTGCATTTCACTCTTGCTTAAATGAAGGATATTACAAAGGTAGCCCACAAAAATACATATGCATGCCCTTGGATCAAGTTTGTGTGAAGGTTTAGTGTTGGTGGCGTAACACAAGCAGCCAAAGACTTTCATGTGGTTGTAATGGGGTATGGTGTTATAGAGCTTTTCATATGGTGTGCTTTTGGAGAGGACAAGTGTAGGTAATCTATTATTCTATAAGCAGTAGTAAGAATGCTTTCCCCCCAAAATGTAAGTGGTAAGTGAGCTTGGAATCTTAGAGCACAAGCAACTTTTAAGAGATCATGATATTTGCGCTCAACGACTGCGTTTTGTTGTGGTGTTGCTGGGCAAGAATGTTGGAAAAGAATTCCCAAATCTTTAAAAAAATGATGGATTGAAAGAATCTCACTCCCATTGTCTGCCCTGACTTGTTTAATGTTGCATTGGAATTGTGTTTTAACAAAGGCTATAAAGGATTTTAGTAAGTTTTGTGTTTCAGATTTAAAGGCCATAAGATGCACCCAAGTGCAGTGGGAAAAATCATCCACAATAGTTAAAAAATAATGGGCATTGGAATGTGAATGAGTGCGATGGGGACCCCAAATGTCACAATGTATGAGATCAATAGGTGCACGTGTTGAAATTGAACTTAAATTGAAAGGTAGACGAGTTTGTTTTGCCATCGGACAAATTTCACAATGCTTGTTAGGATGAAAGGAAACATTGGGAATTCTTCTAGATAAAAATTGTAATGGTGCATCAAAGGGATGTCTTAGGCGGTAGTGCCATAAATGTTGAGTGGTGGAGACAGCGTTGGTTCAGATTTCTGATGATGGTTTGATGGTTGTGTGTTTGGACAAATAATAGAAACTGTTATGCTCCTTCCCTAGGCCAATCACCTTCATCGTTTTTGGGTCCTGTAAGATACAAAAATTAGGATGAAAAATGACGATACAATGTAAGTCACGAGTAATTTTAATGATTGAGAGTAAGTTGACCCGAAAAGAAGGTACATGAAAGACATTTTTGATGAATAAATTTGGATAAAGTTGTACTAATCGAACATATAGGATATCTATATGTGAGCCATTAAGTAAACCAACAGAATCATGGTAAGGTGTTTGATTTAAAAGATGAGATGAAGAGGATATATGATCACTAGCATTACTATCAATAATCCAAGTTGAATAGTCTTTGGTATTAGGTTTACCTATTACATTTCCATAAAACTTATTTTTACCAAGTAAGGCCCTTATCTAATTGTACTCCTTCTCTGTGAAGTGGGGAAAGTTCTGGTGTGCATTTTCTACAGTGGCGGGTTTGGCATTGTGAACATTGTTGGATGTGGTACGCTTGTTCTTGTTTGGTGGCTTGACTGCCTTGCCCTGGAACTTGTGCCTTAGTGGAAAACCGATAATGTAGAAGCAACGATTAGCTTTGTGTGTATCACCTTCACAGTATGTGCAAAGAAAGGATTTCCCTTTGTTGTCTTGTGATTTTACCGGCTGCTTATTTCTTGTGTTCTTTGTGCCTTTTGTCACATTCATGGCATGAATAATGTGTCATGAGCATCATCAATTGTTGCTGTTTTTCTTCTTGGAATAGAAGTGAGTAGATTTTTCTGATATTCGGAAGTGACTGCATCAAAAGGATTTGTCCACGAACAACAAAATATATGTCATTCAATCCCATGAGGAACTGGAGGATTTGCTCCTGCTCTTCCCTTTTAGAAATCTTTTTCAACCCTTCACAATTACATGAATGTGGAGGGTTGGACATTCCCAGTTCGTCCCAAAATGAACTTAAGTGTTGTGTAGTAAGTTGTTATGGACTGTTGGTGTTGACGATGTTCAACGATCCCTCATTTAAGTTCGAAAATACGGGAAAGATTAACTTGTGAGAACTGATCTGTAAGGTCTGACCAAACCTCAACGGCTGTATTGGAAAAGATCACAGTATTGGTCATGTCTGAGCTAACTAAGTTTAGGATCCATGAT